AAAAAAAAAACTATGACAATTCTGAGTAACACTTTCATGGTGACAGTTACACAAGATGATTCAAAAATGCCAAATGGCAGCAACATGCACACCTGGCTAAAGCTAGGTTTTCTTAAATCCCAAAATAAGATCTGTGATTAAAAGGATGATTCTTTTTAATACTTCTATTTTACTGACTTGCTTGTCCTACTTAATTTGCTTTAAATGAGATGTACATGCCAATTAACAGGAAATTTTAGAAGAACTGTGTCCTTCCAGAATCCACGGCAAGGAAGCAAAACCAATCTATGTGGTTTCTTAATTTTTCCTAGTTTCCAAACACAATTTTGGTTTGCCACCCCCCCGTCCCTCCCCCCACCCCCACCCTGAATCTTAAACACTTTCAAAAGTTGCCTGTGCAGACAGTTTTCTATCAATGTATAATAAACATTTGAAATTGAAATCTTTGTGCAGAGTTTTGAGTTTAAGAGTCTTAAAAAAAAAAAAACAACCCTCCTTGGCACAAGAGCTGAGGAATAGTCAAGCTTCTTTGAAATCATCAAACACAAGATGATGGAAAGTGGAGAAAGCACAGTTAAGTGAAATGAAGAAAAAAAAAAACCTAGAAGTGCAGCTTTTATTCGTTACAGTCTCTCAGACACAAACACCGCCCAGCTCCCTTCCCAAGGTGCTTTGCTGGAGGCAAGTGCAGAACACTGTGGTGCTGTCTATTAAAAGGAACAGAAGATGTAGCTGTGGTGGCACCAAACAGCCCAGCTACCCACCAGCTTTACAGCAGGATCCGCAGTGAGCTTGACACAGATAGAAGATAGATGATGGTAAAGGGGGAAAAGAGTTTAAAATTATCAAGTTTCCTCTTGAAATGTCTTTTCCCAAGGCACTGTGAAGAAGACTGCTGCTAGCGATTTTCTAGGACTAAACATACTGATGGGAATATAAATATTTCAAACACAACCCCCGTTACGTTCTTACAGCTAGTCTCATCACTTAGGTCTCTCCTCAGCTTACAGGATGCTCCTTCAATGTGTTTGGTCCTTGGAGGGGCAATTAATATTTGTTTTCTGTAATATCAGTAATCATCTTCTTTAATGCAGCTATGAAATCAAAGCTGTGTTAGGTTATTTAACCCTTCACTCTTAAACTAAAAGTTTTCATCATCATCCCATGTGAATCCAATGTGCAGATTTGGCTTGCTTATTTTAGAATAAAACAAAACAAAAATAAAGGGTTGAAAAGCAAAAACTCTGCTTTTTTTTCTCTTCAAAAGGAAACTATGTAAGAATACATAAAAGGCAAAGTTGGCTACTTGAAATCCAAGAATGGTTTTAATGTGTTGGCCGAGAAAAATAAACTGTAAAGTTCTGTGAGGTCTTCTAAAAATTTACAAGAAAAACTGATGGGCAGTTCTAATCAGACTTGGATGTTATCTTTTCCCCCCTTTTTAAAAATGACAACATATATAGTCCCACAAAATACAATATAAACTTTTTATCTTGACTGCCAGAGACGCTCCTGTATGATGATTTCCAGTAACCAAATAGTTGGGCAAAACACACAGCTGGCCTTCATTTCTTCAGGGGCTGGTAAACAGAGGCATTGGGATCAAGTCCAGAGGGGCTGGTCTCCACAAATTTGGAAGAGTAGTGGGGGGAAACGGGGCTCAGGGGGCTGGTGGCGGCACTGTACGTTATGCTGGGCATGACGGCCATGACTTCAGCTATCTTCTGTTTTAGGTCCTTGATTTCCTGGTCTTTCTGTAGGATTTGTCCTGGAAGATTAAAGACCCACAATTAGTGATGAAGGAAGGCATGCCCAACCCAGTGCTCCCCTTTGGCCTATCCCTGAGTAGTTCAGTTCAGCAGGAACAACGCCAGGTTTGACAGTTTATTAGGTGAGGCAAACTTTTCGTATCAAGGCCAAATAGTAAATGTTTTAGGTGTTGTGGACCATACACGGTATATTGTTTTTTGGTTTTTTTTCCAACCAAGGATAAAGTAAAAACCATTGTTGGTTCACAGGCAGTACAAGAACAGGTGGCAGGCCACATGGGGCCTGTGGGCCACAGTTTGCTGACTCAGCTTAAGAAGGGATTCTGTTCATGCAGTAGGACTGGCGTAAAGAAGTCAGTTTCCAGGCTCGGCGCCTATAGCTCAACCAGCTAAGGTGCCAGCCACGTACACCTAAGGTGGCGGGTTCGAATCCCCAGCCCGGACCCGCCAAAACAACAATGACAGCTGCAACCAAAAAATAGCCGGGCGTTGTGGCGGGCGCCTGTGGTCCCAGCTACTTGGGAGGCGGAGGCAGGAGACTCGCTTGAGCCCAGGAGTTGGAGGTTGCTGTGAGCTGTAATGCCACGGCCCTCTACCCAGGGGGACAGCTTGAGGCTCTGTCTCAAAAAAAAAAAAAAGAAGTCAGTTTCCAGAAACCATATTTTGAAAGCAGCAGTCACCTATGACAGCCTAAGAAGGCTGCTGATTTTGATCTCTGGCTCCATCTGCTGAGGTGAAATTTTTTTCTGGGAGGATGAGAATTTTTTTCCTTGAGTGTCACACCAAGAAATACAGAACAATTGAAGCCTGATAATCAGTCACAGTAGTATACTTATGTCACCAGGTCCTCTGACAGAAAACAGATGAAGCACTGTGACTGCTGAATTGCTCATAGGGCCCAGATCACTTGCCCTTGCCTTTTGGCACAAGGCCCCGCAGACCGGCTGCCTGGTTTGCACTTGGCTGGATGCATTTGTGACATTATCCTCCTCAGTCTCCGGCATACCCTCCCTCACTGCACTTCAGTTTCTCCATCCAATCAGTTGCTCCTGCCTGGGGCCACTTCCTTTCTATGCGTCTCCTGCTCTCTTTGCTTGCTAACACATGAGGTTTCTGTTTCTACTTCCTCAGCAAACCTTTCTCTGATCCTCCCTTCTCAATCAGTTCCCCCCAACTCCTATATTCTTTTTTTTTTTTTTTTTTTGCAGTTTTTGGTGGGGGCTGGGTTTGAACCTACCACCTCCGGTATATGGGGCCAGCACCCTACTACTCCTTTAACATACCCTAAACTTTCCTTTCTGTCACTTGTTCTTAGTGATAATGATAATAACAATAAATAACACAGAGATTCATATATGTCAGGCATAGTTCTAAGTGTTTACATATACTAGTGCATTTCTTTCTCATGACAACCCTATGAGGTGGAAATTATCACTCATGATCAGTATCTATTTTGTAGATGAGGAAACCACAGCATAGAGAAGTTGACTGACTTACTTAAGGTATACAGCTAGTGACAGAGGCAGGTTACAACGCCATGCAGTTTGGTTGGAGTCTACACTCCTATGGTATTCTTTTGTCTCTTGGAACTATTCATTGGTAATGATTTGCGTCCATCATCTCTCTCTCCTGGACCATGGGAGCAGAAACTGTGCTATCCCCCTAGTGCCCAGCACAGTAGAAAGCTGAGGCTCTGCAAGTTATGTATATTATTCAAAATCATTTAGTTATTAAGAGGCAGAGTAGGATTTAAATGCAGGACCACTTTGTTCCAAAGCCCATGCAATTTCCATCATGCTATGTGGCTCCCTGGTCTATTAGGGAAAAGAACACTTAGGAAGAGTTGCCTTTCACAAATTTAAATGCTTAAAGAAAGAAAAAAGTTGACTGGCTGGGCAGGGAGGCTCACCCCTGTAATCCTAGCACTCTGGAAGGCCAAAGCGGGAGGATCTCTTCAGCTCAGGAGTTCAAGATCAGCCTGAGCAAAGCAAGACCCATCGCTAGTAAAAACAGAAAAATTAACTGGGTGTTGTGATGGACACCTATAGTCCCAGCTACTAGGGAGGCGAGGCAAGAGGAGATTGCACCCAGGAGGATGAGGTTGCTGTGACAGAGAAAGACTCTGTCAAAAAAAAAAAAAAGAAAGAAAGAAAGAAAGAAAAAGAAAAAGGTCGCATTTGAGTTGCACCTATTTTGAGACTGCTCATAGGTCTACTGAAGATAATATCCTTGGCATGTAAGAGAGCTTGGTTATTTTTTAATAGGATGTAGTAGAGATGAAAGTCATTTTAGAACCAGAATGAATCAAATGATATACAAAGTAGGAAGGAGAAAAGCAATGAGGGGTTTGATTTGAATTACAAAGTTGGGTTCTTATTAGAATATTCTAAGATGACAGAGGAGGGCGGTAGTGGAGAAGGCAGTAGCAAACAGCAGTAGAAAGGAACTGCTCCCTCTCACTTCCTTCATGTCTCTGAAGCTTCAAGTAGGCATCAAATATCTTCTTTCTCTTTGAACAAAGTAAGCCTCAGATGAATAAAATACCTAATGGCATCTGATATATGAGCCACTATATCCTTTTCCATGCAGATTTAAGTTTGATTTCTTTAATCAGTAACATGCAAACATCCCCAGAGCTTTGGAAAAGATAGTTCTCTTTGCCTGTTGCTTTGTGAGGATTTCTGGGCTGACAGCTTAGAGCAGTCTGTGCTAGGAAGCCAAGCTCCCCCTGGCTACTCTGAGACCAGGAGCAGCTTCACTCCAGGGGGATCTTTTCCAAGTTTGCCAACCCAAGTAAACAGGGATGAGGCAGAGAGGGTGACCATCTCCCAGGGAATTGAGCCAGGCAGGCAAAAAGGTTAGTAGTTAAGCTTCAAAGCAAGATTCCCAGGAGTCTTCTTTTTTTTGGTAGAGTGCTCTGGTGTCATAGCTCACAGCAACCTCAAACTCTTGGGATAAAGTGATTCATCTTGCCTCGGCTTCCCTAGTAGCTGGGACTACAGGTGCCTGTCACAATGCCTAGCTGTTTTTTTGTTTGTTTGTTTCGTTTAGCAGGCCCAGGCTGGGTTCAAACCCACCAGCCCCGGAACATGTGGCCAGCGCCGCAACCACTAAGCTCCGGGCGCCCAGCCCCCAGAAGTCTTAAATGCCTTTCCCTGAATCCACAGACTAAAGCAGCCTGACTCCTGCACACACAGACACACACACACACCCTTGCTTAAAACCGGGGCCATTCCAAGCCATTCCTGTGGCTTCACCAACTTCACAACTTCTATATCTAACCATCCTACACCCAGGGGTTTTGGCCTTTCTCTTTGGTTTAGGCCCAAAGTTCCCATCTACTAATGAATATTTCCTACTGGGGGGAGAGCACACCTCCAAATCAAAACATCCAAAACCAAACTAGTTCTCCCTTCTCACTCCTTAAATCTGTTCTGCTCCTCTTCCCTAGTCCCAACAACTTTATCCCTCCCAGATCTCTTAAGCATGTCCATTCTGCCTTACTCACATGTCTGGGTCATCTCCCTTCCCCATACCCATCACCTCTCAGATAGAAGATAGTAACAGCTTCCTAACTGGCCTCTCTACCTCCACTTAATCTTACCTCTCATATCCATCCCTCACATTGTTATTGGAAGGAGATTTCCAAAATAATAGCTAGAACACATCACCCCCTTTTTCTGGAAAATCTAGGGAATATGTTCTTTAGTACCACTTTGTTTACAGTCTTCCTAATCTCCCATTCTTTTATTCCCTGTTCCCCAGCTAAAGGCTGCTAGACTGTTCATCTGGCCATGTCAGCACTTCGTTTGCTTTGCGTACACTACTTAACTCAGGTAATGTTGTTCACCCCTGCCATTCTCTCCTCTGCTCTCAGAATTCTTCTTCAAATCCCATTCAATGCCCCCTACTCCATGAAGCCTCTTGGATCTCTTCTCCAGCCTTTTTTTTTTTTGAGACAGAGTGTCACTATGTCACCCACCTCAGTGTATGTGGCTGGCGCCCTACTCACTGAACTACGGGCACTGAGCCTCCTCCGGCCTTTCTAGCCCTCTGCCTCTATGAGAGCAGCCTTTCTGCTTGGCTCAGCCTTATGGCAGCAATTCTCAAAGTCATCAGGGTCCACAAGGACAAAACTACCTCTGTAATAATACTAAGAACTCATTTGCCTTCTTCACACCCATTCTGACATAGGTGGAAACCAGAAGCTACTTTGACTGTGAAATCACAATAGAATATAAAAAGAGACATAAGAATCAAACAATCTCTGTTAAGCTAGACATTAAAGAGATTTGCTAAATGTAAAATAATGCTATTTTTCTAATTTTTTTTGTTTTGGAAAACAGTTTTTTTTTAATAAAAATGTTATTTATGTTAACATGTAATATGTTTATATGTTATTTTAAAACAAATGTTTTAAGTTTTAATTTCTAGTAGATAAATATTGAAAAATATAATCTACTTGAAATAAACTTTTTTTTTTTTCAAGACAGAATCTCAAGCTGTCACCCTAGGTAGAATACCGTGGTATCACAGCTCACAGCAACCTTCAGCTCTTGGGCTGAAGCAATTCTCTTGCTTCAGCCTCCCAAGTAGCTAGGACTACAGACACCTGCCACAACGCCCAACTTCTTTTTGCTTGGAGCTGTCATTGTTGTTTGGCTGGCACCTTAGCCACTTGAGCTGTAGCTCAAGGAGTGCGCCAAGCCTGAAATAAACTTTTAAGGTAGTAATTTTTAGAGTATAAAAGGAAGGCCAGGTATGGAAGTTCACACCTGTAATCCTAGCATTCTGGGAGGCTGAGGCAGGTGGATTGCATGAGCTCACAGGTTCGAGACCAGCCTGAGCCAGAGTGAGACCTCAACTCTAAAAATATCTGGGCGTTGTGGCGGGCACCTGTAGTCCCAGCAACTTGGGAGGCTGAGGCAAGAGAATTGCCTGAGTCTAAGAGTTGGAGGTTGCTGTGAGCTGTGATGCCATGACACTCTACCGAGGGCAACAAAGTAAGACTGTCTCAAAAAAAAACGAAAACAAAAACAGAAGTCTAAAACCAAAATTCATGCACTGTATTGTATTCATTTTTGTCTCCCCTGGAGCTTCTAGAACAATGTTTGCATAGAGTGTGACTCCTCTGTATGTCCCTGTTGAATTTCTATCTGTTTAAAAAGAGACAGGGTCTCATTATGTTGCCCAGGCAAGTCTCAAACTCCTGGGCTCAAGTGATCTCCCACATCAGACTCCTAAATAGCTGGGACTATATATGCATGCCACCATACCCTGCTTGAAATATATATATTTTTTTCATTTCACTAAATCAATTGTTTGAAAGTTCTTTTCAGTATTCTATTTAGTAATCTATAGAATACTCTATTTTTTCCATATTATACTCAATTTATTACTCTAATTGATTTGAGTAATAATCAGAGTACAACTTCTTAAGCAAAATTCAAATTTACTGTGCCTCTGTTGAAAAGTTGTCCAGCTCCCCAAATCACTCAGAATCCCAAGATCTTTCCATGGGCCACAGGTCCATTGCTACCCCCTCCCCTCCCCCACCTCCAACAAAGACTCTTCCCATTGTGTAGACTGCACCTGCACCCAAACCCTCCCTTTAGTGCTTTGCACTTGCTGCTCCCTCTCCTGAAGTGCTTTCCTTCAGCTATTCAAGAGGCTCACTCTCTTCCTTTCAGTCTCTTCTCAAATACTACCTATTCAAGGGATCTTTGGCGATCACCTTGTCAAAAGAAGAGCCCTGCACACACACACACACACACACCTTGTCTCCCCACTGCTTTTTCCCCACTGCTTTATTTTAATCATTGTAACTACTGTCCTCTGACACATTCCCTACTGGCTTGTTCATCACCTGTCATTTCAAGGGCTGTATCCTCAGGGACTATCAGAGTACCCAGCACATAGTAGGTCTCAGTAAATATGTGCCAAGTAGATGCCTGTTTTCCACACTCCCTCCACTATTGCCTTATTTGCAACCTTTGCTCCAGCCAAGCAGAACCAGCTGTAGCTCAGAACCCATCAGGCCCCATCTAGCCTCTCAGCCTTTGTTCAAGTTGTTTCTTCTGTCCAGATGCCTCTCTACACCTCCCCTCCCCACTGCCACCACACTACCTCCTCAAGCCCTAGCTTGGACATCAGCTCCTCTGGGAAATAGCCCTCTTCAACTCCCCTGCCTCTTCCTATGTTCCTGCAGGCCCCACATATACTTCTTTGCCAGCACCTTTTAATGACTCTGCATTTCTCTACTTCTTCAATAACACCGTGTACTCCTTAAACATGGAAATCACACTTTCCTCTGTATGCCCTGCACTTGACATATTCTCATCTCAAAATATGTCCACAGAATGACTTAAAGTGATGGTTCCTACATTTCAATGTTGGGCACTTACAAAACACCAGAAGAGAAAATTTAAACGTTGGTTCAGCGCTCTATGGGAAGATCTTCCCTCCACATCCCTGTGTGTTCTGTTCTCAGTCACATCCCCTCACCAGGGGCCCGTGCACTCCTACCTTGGGCAATTTCAAGCTGCCGCTTGGCGTCACCCAGTGCAGAGAACAGGTCCAGCTTGATTCTTGTCTCTGCGCTGAGGCTGTTCTCCAGGTGCTGCGTTTTGTCTTGCATGGCTGAGAGGGCTGACATTAACACCTCGGTGTCCTTCTCATTTTCCTTATACTTCCGAAGCTCCTATCAATATCATCAAAACAGCAATGCTACAAGGTACTTTTGGCATCTATAAGTTAGCCTGAAATCATAAATTAAATACCACTATTCTTGGCCTGGCTACTAACTTTAGAGCAAGTGTCCAGTGTATTTATGGGGCAGAGTACACATATAAAAGCATTTAGCAGATAATCATTCAACCATGTTGGGCATAAGTGTAGATAGCAATGGACTCTGCCACCCAACAAAATACTTTCTTACAATCCTAATTCAGAACCACAGAGCACTTTTTCCTCACTGTCAACCTGCAAATGTTACTGTAGTACCATAGTGAAATTTGCCAAAACTCTTCCATCAGTTTGGACCAAAAATTGCAAAAATGTTAATTATTTTGATAGGACATACTGTAGAATAAGGCCACTTAAAACAGCTGGTAATACAGCCAATTAATTTATACAGATACATAAATGTTTCTTTTTTAAGAGAGAAATCTTAATTTATTAGGGAAAATTTAAAAGTATGGAAAGGTTCAAAGAAAATAAAAATTACCCATAATACCAACAATGAAAATTTTGATATATTTTCTTTTAGTCTTTTTAAAAGCACGTACGTATATATACACACACACACATATATATGTTATGAAAGACATATATATATATCTTTTAGCACTAGTGACACAATACCATATATATAGCTTTTTGGTTTTTTTTTAGAGACAGAGTCTCACTTTGTCGCCCTTGGTAGAGTGCCATGGCATCACAGCTCACAGCAACCTCCAGCTCTTGGGTTTAGGCAATTCTCTTGCCTCAGCCTCCCAAGTAGCTGGGACTACAGGCACCCACCACAACACCTGGCTATTTTTTTGTTGCAGTTTGGCCGGGGCTAGGTTCGAACCTGCCACCCTCAGCATATGGGGCTGGCGCCCTACTCACTGAGCCACAGGCGCTGCCCCATATATATAGTTTTGTCTACAAATTGACTTTATGTGGAAATAAAATCTTTATTGCCTATATAATATTCCTAAACATTTATATACCAAAATTTAAACAAATCTCCCAGTGTTAAAATTTTTTCCAAATTTTTTGCTTTTATATACCACCACTACGAACATCTTTGCATATCAATCACTGGTGAGATTTTAAAATCTTTACCTTAGGTTGGATTACTAAAAAGAAATACTTAAAAAAGTGCACTGACTTTCTAGAAAGTCATACTTCCACCAGCAACATATGAGGCTGATTTTGTCACATCCTCACAAAGATTGTTGTTATCATTTAAAGTATCTTTGCTAATTTCAAGTGATGTCTAATTTTAATCTGTATATTGTTTATGACTGATGAGGTTATATTTTATGCGATTTTTTTCAGTGTGATACTATTTTATCTACTGTGCACATTATCAAGGCTCAATGGAGCAGTTAACAAGGAACATATGTCATTTGTTTGTATTTTAATTGATAGATGCAAATATGCCAACTAAACAGAACATAACAGCAGTAGCAACATGAACAGCGCTCACTAATGTCTACAGGCTCCAGTCTACTTGATGTTGAACAGCACTGTGAGATTTCCATGCCTAACACGAGCACATAAAATGCATCTCATGGAGTGCTGCTATCAGCAATAATATCACACGCACATAAAATGCATGTCATTGAGTGCTGTTATCAGTGATAAGGTTCAGATGTTGTCTTATTTATGGCCTAATGCTCCCTGAAAAATTAAACAAATTAACTTTGAGTGGTGGACATTATTTAAAAAATTCTGGCATCAGGCTTGACACCTGTAGCTCAACGGTTAGGGCACCAGCCACATACACTGGGGCTGGGGGGTTCGAACCCAGCCTGGGAACTGCCAAACAATAATGACAACAACAACAACAACAACAAAAATAACAAATTGCTGGGTGTTGTGACAGGCGCCTACAGTCCCAGCTACTTGGGAGGCTGAGGCAAGAGAACTGCTTAAGCCCAAGAGTTTGAGGTTGCTGTGAGCTGTGACGCCACAGTATTCTACCAAGGGCAACATGGTGAGATTCTTGTCTCAAAAAAAAAAAAAAAAAAAGTATTTCTAAGGTATTAAGGGACTAGCTATACTGTTTTTAACACAGGCAGGTTTTAAGGGTACAGGATTAATTTGAAGCATGTTTTAGAAAGCCTTATGAAAATATAATTAGATTTATATTTTTATGTTTTTAGCAGTCATTTATATTTCTTCTGTAAATTATTTGTTCATATCCTTAGCCTATTTTTCTCTATAGTTGAGCTTTTCTCAGCAAATTTTAAGGTATGTATTTATTATTTATAAAATCTGTTGCAATATCTACATCTTCCCCTATTGAGTTTTCGTTTATTATTTTTTTGTTTTGTGATTTCTGTTGCTGTGGGTAGAGTGCTGTGCTGTATCTCACAGCAACTCTTGAGCTCAAATGATCCTCTTTTTTTTTTTTTGAGACAGAGCTTCAAGCTGTCCCCCGGGTAGAGTGCTGAAGCATCACAGCTCACATTAACCTCCAACTCCTGGGCTCAAGCAAGTCTCCTGCCTCAGCCTCTGAAGTAGCTGGGACCACAGGCACCTGCCACAACGCCTGGCTATTTTTTGGTTGCAGCCATCATTGTTGTTTGGCAGGCCTGGGCTGGATTTGAACCTGCCACTTTAGGTGTATGTGGCTGGCGCCTTAGCCACTTGAGCCACAGGTGCTGAGCCTCAAGTGATCCTCTTGTCTTAGCTTCCAGAGCAGGTGAGATTATAGGCATGTGCCACAACTCCCAGCTAATTTTTCTGTTTTTAGTAGAGATGGGGTCTCACTCTTGTTCAGGCTGGTCTTCAACTATTGAGCTCAAGTGGTCCATTGGCCTTGCAGAGTGCTAGGATTACAGGTGTGAGCACCGTGCCCAGCCTGCTTTGTGATTTCTTCCATTGCTTTCATGTTTAGAAAGTCTCCTGTTCAAGATCAAATAAATTCTACTATACTTTCAACTAGTTTTTAAAAAATTATTTCTTCTTTTCTGCATTCAGTTCTTCATCTGGAATTTCTTTTCATGTGGTATGACAGTGTTTTTTAAACATTTTTATCTCATGACACACTTGAACTTATAGTCTAACTTCCACAGTTCACTTAAATTATATTATTCAAAAAAAGAATTAAAAAAACTTTGCTTTGAACTTCTTTTGAAAATAATTTAGGCTCGGCGCCTATAGCTCAACCGGCTAAGGCGCCAGCCACGTACACCTAAGGTGGCAGGTTCGAATCCCCAGCCCCGACCCGCCAAACAACAATGACGGCTGCAACCAAAAAATAGCCGGGCATTGTGGCGGGCGCCTGTGGTCCCAGCTACTTGGGAGGCGGAGGCAGGAGACTCGCTTGAGCCCAGGAGTTGGAGGTTGCTGTGAGCTGTAATGCCATGGCACTCTACCTAGGGGGACAGCTTGAGGCTCCGTCTCAAAAAAAAAAAAAAAAGAAAATAATTTAATTAGTGATCTTTAAAAAATTTCAAGCCACAGCTAAGATCCTCTCATGGCACACTAGTTGCAAATCACTGTGGTATGAGATGAGCTTCTAATTTTTTTATTTCCAGTTATCTAGCCGTTTGTTCCAAAGCCTTTACTGACTAATCCTCACCTTTTCCATTTATCTCCAATGCCATCTTTATTAAAAGCCTTAGGCTTTGTCCCCAGTCATCTATTCTATTCCACTGACTTGACAGTATTTCTTACCAGTCCCACATAATTCAACTTACTGTCACTTCACAATACATGACATTAGTTTTAAATGCCAAATACTTGGCTATGCCATACACAACCCCCAAACCGGACTATATGTACAGCACTAGCTCTTTTCTTCATCATGCTCTGCTAAAAACCACAATCTGGAAGGCTCAGGACTATCCAGGAGGGTCAATTCCCTGGTAATGGACAGAGGCTGAAGGCTAAGAGATGTGTAAATTCCAAATGACACTAGTCTGGCCTATAACCTGAAAAAGTTAAATGAATCTATGGGATGTCAAGTCCTGTTTTGTGATTTGTCAAGGGGCTGTTAACATTTCTGGCTTATATTGGAATCTGGCTACATTAAATATGACTTGAAATGAGCTGGTCAAGTAGAGCTTCAGGTATTTTCTGTCATACAGAGATTTTCAGATCCAATGGGATTTTGTCTGCAACAAAAGCCATCATTTCCCCCATTAAAACACAGCAAAAATCTAGCATGAAAGGAGAATTCATGTATGAGGGAAGTCTTTTTTTCCTCGATTACCTGGACTTTTAGTTCTAGTTCTCTGATCTGGTCTTCTTTCACCTTCATGTCCATCGTGAGCTTCTTGCCCTCTGCTTCTAGTTCTCTGATCCTATTCCGTAAGGTTTCGGTGCATTCTCCTCTTTAAAAAAAAAAAGAGAAGGAAATAAATGATTTGAAAAACCATAGGTTTACTTACATTGCAGGATTGCTATTTCTTTTACATCCAGGGCCTGTCAGGTTTTAGCTTTTGGCTCAGTTTGTTTGTTCTGGTCTTTGATAATTTCAAGAATGATCTAAAATAATTATCATTAGTTGAGTGTCTATGTGAGCCAGGAATTAAGCTAGGTATCTTACCCATATATACCTTTTTCAATTCTAATAACAATCTGGAATGTATTATACCATTTTCCAGATAAAAAACTGAGGCTACATTGATAAAATACTAATCTAAGGTCACCTTGGTCTTAGGTCATACAACTGGGATAAGAACTGAGGTTTTCTAGATTCTCAATTTGGTGAACCTCCCCCCAGGTAACAGTGGCTTCACACTAATCATACAAAGCATACAAAGCTGTGCAAGATAGACCTGAACGTGGGGTGGCTCCATCAGGGCACAGTGAACAAAAATAATTTCTTCCCCACTTTTGAGGGGCTATTCGTTGGGGATTTCACAGTTATTTAGTCACAAAAGTACAAACAGAGTAAGAAGGGTGTGGCATTAGGCGGTTTCTCAGGGCTATAATAAGGGTGAGCTCAATGAGATGATGGCAATGGCCAGTCAAAGCTGCTAAACTGTTTGGGTTCTGAAATAGCCCCCAAAGGAAGGTCCAATGAGAGATTTATGCCCTGAGATTTACTTAAGAATATAAACAGCTCTATGTATGGCAAATAAGGACCATCTAGGGATCAGACCAAAACAAAGAAGCTTTCCTGGAAGCAAAAGGGATTTGTGGTGGACACTGAAACTAACCTACTGATTCTTGGACATCAAGAAAATAAATGGTATGGTTAAGGAACTGCTATATTTTCCTTGGTGGGATTTAAAAGGGGGGGGGGTAGGTGCTGGATGAATTAAGGAGAGCAGAGGCCATACTAGATGACTGTTTAGGAAAATGTCCTGGGAGTGTAAATGTTTGAAAAATGCTTACATGTCTTTAAACAAACAACTCACATCCTAGGCAGGCTAGTTAAGGGTCTTGTAAGTCTATACGGATGCTGATGGGCCAAGTGAGCTCAGCCATCTGCTGTCTAGAGTCTTCTGGGGAAGGCAGGATCACCCAGAAGACAGTTCTCATTTGCTGTTATAAAAAGGTGAGATGATTCACCAATTATTCTGTAAATGCCAGAACTCCCAAAGAAGAATATTAATATTCCAAAGGCTGGCAAGTAAATTACTTGTTTAATACAATAGAGCAAAACTTAAGGAAGAATTACACCTACCATGTAGATATAAATTAAGATAGAAATGAAAAATGAAATAAATAATAATTTATCCTCACTGTGTATCTGCAAACCCATAACTGACCCCCACCATGCAGATGGACTTCTTTAATAATGAAAAAAAAATCAAAGAAAAAAAGTAATAAAAGTAGAAGCAAACAAAACAAAATAAAACAAAACAAAATTCTCAAAAAACAAAAACCAGGCTGGGTGTGGTGGTTCATGCCTATAATCCTAGTACTCTGGGAGGCGGAGATAGAAGGATCTCTTCAGCTCAGGAGTTCAAGACCAGCCTGAGCAAAAGCGAGATCCTATCTCCACTAAAAATAGAAAAATTAACCAAGCATTGTAGTAAGTGCCTATAGTCCCAGCTACTCTAGAGGCTGAGGCAAGAGGATCACTTGAACCCAGGAGTTTGAGGTTGCTATTGTTAGGCCACAGGGCAGTAAGGAGGCCCTAAAACAATGAAAACATTCTACCCGCATATCAGACTCTTGCACCTGGAGGCAACACCCTACCCTCTCCCTACTCCCTCATACCCGCGCTAAAAATAACCGTCGCAAAA